ACTATCTTGCTCTTGCAACCTTGATCCTAAGAGAGAAAGGAGAGCCTTTTATCTGTCTCCCACCTTAGGTTTTACAATATAGTTGCACCATCTTCAGCTAGGTGATGAATTTTGAATTTAGGTCTTTCACCGTATTAACTACATTGGAAACTAAGAACACTTGTGGACTCCATATTAAATAACATCTATTCTTTTTTTTTTTTTTGAAGCCCAAAGGCAAATTCATTCAACTAGATCATCAAGATTACATCTCATCAAATGCCAATGACCTGATAAACCCAGGAATTGAAGACCAGGTCATGGATTTCTTGTTCCGAATGGAAAATTGGGCTTGCCCGTGGGCTAATCCATTACAAGAACAAGATGTGTAAAGAAACTCAACAACTGTAAATCGAGCGAGGAGTTGCTTATAATCTTGAATAATGTGCAAATGTTCCAAGGTGGTTGAAGATAGGAGATTAATAACCTTCTTAGCATCACTTTCAATTTCGACCCGATCCATGGCCATAGACTCAGCAAGTGACAATCCCTCCCAAACCGCCTGAACCTCAGATTCCAAAGGAGAAGAGGCCTAAATAATTCGAGCTCTACCCATAATAAAATTCCCACATTGATCACGGATGGCAATACCCACTGCTGCTCCATCAGTATTTACTGTCCACCCATATTTTTTTCTTGGCATGATTATTTCCAATTGATCCTAAGGCGCCTGCGTTTGGTTGCAGTGCAAATTCATTTGCATTGATGCAAAATTATGTTCATGCAAATGATTTGAGTGCAAATTTTGATTCGGATAATGCCGTCTCTATTGCATTGAAGATGCAAGAAACAGGGTTTTGCCTTGACACTCTGAGCTGCAATGATCTGCTAAGTGGGTTCTGCAAGAAAAAGTAATTGGATAAGGCCTATGAAATACTTAGAGAGATGGAGAGGAAGGGAATTAGAGGTGTCGTTTCCCCCTCCCTCCTTCCCGTTCTGGTTACAGGTAGGTCTACCATCTAAAGGTAGAAAATAATGAATGATGTCTTCATTAGTATCGAATCTCAAATACCTCAACAGGTTCAATCTCATGATAAAAAACAATGAACAGTATCTTCTTTTGAAGGATAATTTTGATATTTTCAAAAATTTTTTAGTTGTACAAGGTATCATGTGATCGGATAACTTAGGATAATAAAGTGCAATGTCTCCCTTTTCCTTTACTCTTTTATTATTAAAAATTTTCTAACCCACCGTTGTGCTTCCAAATCTTCTCCAAAGTGGCTTACCTCCATCTCTATACTTCATACTTGTTTCCAAATATATTAAAAAGCATGAGTGGTGTACACGTCAGCTTCATGCCTGCATCTACTTCCAGCTCGATACATACAACCTAACTTTTTAGGACCATAGACGGTTAATTCCATCAAGATTGTTCTGGGATGGCAAGAACTTAGGGCACTTTCGTAATTTGACCTACAAAGTTAGGCGTTAAAAGCTTAAAGCTGAACAAAAGAAAAGGCGATGCTGTCAGATAACCAGATCTGGAAACTGGGGGGCGAAGCCTTTCTCTAAATCTTTTCTCTCTAAGTTTGCATTCACGGCATCTGCTTTGTTCTTGGTGCGAGTCCAAATCAACCTCCAATACTGCACCCTCCCCTCAGTTTAGCCCCGCTATTTGTCATTAATTGCGGAAAGTGCCATCCCTGCTGAATCTCCCAATTCGATGCATGTGGACCCACTTGAGTTATGACTGGCTGACTGCCTAAAACAATGCAATGAGATCAAAAGGGCTCTATAGCCATCAAATCTGATCAAGTTCTAGGTGGCCCACCTAATAACCTATGACATTCTCTCGTCAGAATTTGACCAAAATTGGTTGATCACAAGTCAGGCTGTCAACAGGTCGGGTCCGGATAGAATCGGAACTGATCCGATAAAGAAATATTAACGATTTGGAACCGAATTAGATCTATTAGGGTTTGTAATTTTGAATTCAGAATCGAACTGATCAGTTTTTACAATTGGCTCTGATCCAATCGACTTAATTATAATAGACCTGCTAAAAATAGTTTATATAAATATTAGGAACTGGAATCGGTTTTACATTGATAATAATGGGGACAATATATTAAGAGCCGGAATTGATCCATCGGTTCTGATTCCTAGAATCAGAATTGACTTCAATCGGTTTGAATTCATCGAATCCGTCAGATTGGATCCGACCCATTGACAGCCAGCCCTAATGTGTAACCTCATATATTTACTTTTTATATTGGTCACGTTCATTTCCTGCAATGGAAAAAAATTTGGCTATTTGGATTGTATGGAAGCATCTTAAGCATATATGAAAAAGATATGATATAGAAAAAACAACTGACCAATTCATAAACCTGGTAGCAAATTAGGCGTCATTTATCAAAATTAATGGGTGAGTTTTCATTGGTCAAAACTCTCCGTATTATTGGTGTGGACCAAATTTTAGTTAAGTCAAGTATCGACTGAAAGGGGTAAAGTGTCGTGCCTAACAAACTTCCAAACAACCATTTTTCTATTCTTTAAACAGCTCCCGAGGGTGTCAATGCATCAGTTTTGGATTGGACAGACCAATAAAAAATATTGAATTGGTCCAATCTGGTTCAAAATATTTATTGGATTGTATTGGACCTTATCTGTTCATAATGAATTTATATAGGATTGGATTAAGCCAATATCTGGTCCATTGATATAAAATGAGAATATATGTGTCAATGATTCAATGGACCGGGTTTAGGTTGAAACCAATCTAAATTAAAAAAAAAAAATTGAACAAATTGGATGGTCCAAACATTGAATTGGGCTGGTCCAAAATGGTCCAAAATATTCATTGGATTGGATTGGACCTAGTCCATTTGCAATGGACTTACATTGGACTGGATCAGATTGGACCAAATCTAGTCCAATTGACACCCTTAGCATCTCCTATGTGCATCACGTAGTATCATGGATACGAAAACTAAAGGGCTATTTTGATCCTGGGAATAGGGGTCCAGAGTCAAAATCGGAATGGGCCATTCCATTACCAACTGTTTGGTTCGTGGTATTGGAATCCCTTTCTCGTTCCTAGTGGAATATCATTCCCCCATTGGCTTGGGGAATGAAATTTCTTTACAGCCTATTCTAATTTTCATTCTAATTCCAGTCCCAATTTCAAAGGATTTTGATTTCGATTCTAATTCTAACTATAGACCAAACGGACCCTAATATTCAGAAGAGAAAAAGCTAAGGCTGTATTTGCTACGGTGGCTGCTTCTGTGTTAAATATTTTAAGTTGATCAATACAAATTAATGAAAAATACATTATTGCTTTCTACCTGCATGATCAATAGATAATGTTTGAGCTCACTTTTGCTATGATGCGGCTTCAGCCTTGGGCCATATAACCCGGAATCACAGCCTTTGATGTATTGCTATAGGCTCCCTTGCATCAAATACGTTTGAAAGCCATGATTTCATGTTTTATCCCAGCTTTAACACATACGTGGGGTTATGTTCGAGCTCACTTTTGTTATGATGCGGTTTCAGCCTTGGGCTATATCGATGAATCACAGTCTTTTATGTATTGCTATAGCCCCGCCTTGCATCATTTAATCGAAAGCCATTGTTCATATATATGTATGGGACATTGTGTCTCATTAATCGTAATGGAGATTTGGGATTGAATTTTGCCTACACCTGATTGGGGGGTGTTATGGGTTGAGGGATGGGTTATTTCTATTGTGTAGCCTTTCATATAAAATATCATAGAAGAAAAAAAATTCTTGACAGGAACATTGATGTATTCACTCATGATTGATTGCATAATCATTATACACAGCGTGGCAAAAGGCAGATCGGGTACACATGACCTATGACCAGGGTTATAGAACAATTTAATGACCCTCCAATGATTTTTGAACACACCTGTGTTGAGTGAAAAAGACAAAATATCATGTCAAACCAATACCTGATTAAAATAACGAATAATTACACTGCATTTGACCGCAAAATTCTAAATTCCATGCAGACCTACAACAATTCAAAATATCAAATACCCCCATCCTAAACATCAACGTTCACCATGTATTAACATTAATTTCAAGCTGGCACCTATCCCAACTGTACAATGGAACTAAGAATTCTGGGGTGAGCTCAACAATCATTCTCACTTAAAATAATCACTGCCTCACTAGGGATCGTTGAGTTATTGTTATTCTAGAATGCTTGTCGTAAGCAAGGTTCAAAATATTGATACACCCGATACATCGATAGGGGCGTATCGAGCGATATCAATACTATTTTTTTGCTTTATTTATTTATTTTTTTCAAAATTGATTCATATGATCGGTTTAAGGCTCTCCACCTCTTCAACTGATTAGAACAACAATACACCCACTGTAGGAATGTATCGGAGAGGTCTCAAAACAATACATATTGATACTTTAAACCTTAATTGTAGGTAATGTGGATTCAACAAAAATGGATAAACAGAGTAGAGAGTGATTCTTGCACTGCGGGATAGGCTATCCACCATGAGTTAGTATGTTAGTATCAGCAGCAGATCCGGCCATTCGGGTTCTTTGACTGAACATGCACAAATATCCCACTCTCTTTTCGCCGTGAATTGCAGCCACAAATCTATCAAATCATAATATAATAATAGAGATGTGTGATGCAATTCACGGTGGGTAGAGAGTGGGTAGTAGTGAGTAGGAAATCCGGTTTGGAAAAGGTGTTGCGTAAGGGTTGATCATTGCTGCTTTGCTCCATGAATGCAAACCTTTAGATTGGAACCATATATTTCTAATTCTCTGGACTATCAAATACCGTATAAAATACCAGTGCAACAGTGTTGCTCTACTCTAGCCAACTATTAGACTACTAAAAGGCAGGTATAAATAGTAATTATAGACAGAAGTTGGTGGTTTATGGTAATTGTACTTAACAAAGCATGGTTTCATATAATGTTGGCTTTTCTTTGCAAACTGGCCTGTGTTCTTGCTTTTCTCTTTTCCTTGCTTTCGCTTCTCTCTCTCTCTCTCTCTCTCTCTTCGATCGATTGAATCGGATATATTTAAAGCTTTACGAGGATCAGATTGCCAACGAAGACCCAATGAATCAGAAACCAGTGGACGAGCTGATCGGCTGCGACGCCACTCGACCACGCAATCTGAATTCGTCGATCTTCGGTGGCAACATGAAGCGAAGCGCGTCGGAGCTGAACTTGGAGGAGTTCCTAAGGCCGACGGTGGCATCTCCAATCGGCGACAACGAGAACCGGAGCTCAAAAGAAGAGAGAATTGGAGAAGTTAGGGTCCAGAGAGCGAGGATTTCCGGTGAACCCGACGGCTTCTTCAGCGTCCAAGTGCAAGATAAAACCTTCGAAGACGTTTGCGCTGCCGCCGACGACCTCGGCTTCGGCGGACTCAGAGATCGTCCGGTAAGTTAGTTGTTTCAGTTAATTTTATTTTTGCTGAGCTATTTTTATTTTTCACGGAAATATGAGATCAGAGTGGACGAGAACCGAAAATTCCACGTTGGCTGGGCTTGTCTCTTCGTCCATGAGACCAGAAGCGGACAAATCCAATGACGTGGACTTGCTGTCTTACAAATTCGTGCAGAATTAATAGAACATGAATGAGGAAAGATTTGGTGTTCTCGAACTATCGAAGTAAATTATTTATTTATTTTTTTGCAATAAAATAAATGTGGATTAGTGGAATGATCAAATCAATCGATTATGATTGAGTGATGATAATCCATAAAAAATAGAGTTGGGTGCCTTGTGGGCTTGAGTTGGGGCCCGTGAGATGAGATACCTTAATTTGGGTTGGGCTTGTTACCAAAAAAACAAGGATTGGGCTTGAACGCTACCCATTACCTTAATGCTTTTGGAACCGTGTGAGGATCTACTAGCCACTAGAACCCTACCCACAGGATACTACCATCATATATTAAAAATATTTTCCAGAAATGATAAGAGATATTCGCTGATTTTAGTAACATATTTGCCATTAATATATTTTATTAATAAATTATAATATTTCAATCGTTTTATAGCATTTTAAATTCATCTCATTAATATCCAGTAGTTGAGATGGTTGCATGGTACATTTAGGAGGCATTGAATCAAATCCGTGGATAGTGGCCCTCACGTGCAACTTATTCTTCCCACCCTATCCTTAATTTCTGTTTTTTTAGAAAAAATTATGAAGCCGGAAAGACATGATACTGAAAAGGTTTTGACCAATTATACAATCCATGATACTGGAAAGGTTTAAGCTTTTCTGGTATCGTATCTTTCCGATATCAATATATCATAGTTTAATCCTTTTTCTATAAAAAAATGTAATGTGTAAGATTACGTTAATATCATTGTCACCATTTAAGCTTTAATTACATGAATCCTATTTTACCATGATTACATGAATACTATTTGTAAATTTATAGTTAAGGATTAAACACAAACCTTACAAAACCAACCCAATTTCATGTTTGTATTAGGTTAACGTTGAGGATTTTGGGCTGTGCTACGTTTGATAGAAAATAAGAGAAATAGAAAGTTGTGAGTAATTTCTTAAAAGTACTTTTGTGAAATTTATAAAAACTTACGTCGAACTTTATATTTCTCTCTTATTTTCCATCAAATCAACCCAGCCCCAAATTGGATAACTGATAATCACAGCCGGTGGATTCTTGAATGAAGAGCCCCGTAAGTCTAGGGATTCTAAACTCCCCTCAAATCATGAAAACAAAGAAAAATAAAATATATAAAATAAAGATAGATGCAAAATAACTAATAATGTATAGATTCCTCGAGGCCCAAAAACCATGGGATAATCCTTTTCCAGCCCTCATTTCTATCCAAGGTTTAGAGTATTGACACAAGCCGATATGCTGGTAGGGCCATTGACCTGGGTCAGTGCTTTTTTATGTTTTATTTTTTATTTTTAAAATTGGTTCAGAGAAATTGATTTAAGTTCCTGTTATCCTCTGAATCATGGTCTCACCCGGGGTATATCAGGAAAATATCGGCACAATACTTTAAACTTTGCTTCTATCTGGGGTAGGGATTTGAAGATGTCTGCAAATCTAAGCCATTTATTTCAGGTTCAAACTCAGTGAGTGGATTAGAAAATTAGTTTATACATTGGGATCGGTGATTTGGCCTATTTAAGTGGGAAGCACGCCTGTGGTGACACAGTAACCTGACTCCACCATTTACATTCAATATATTATTCTTTTATTTTTTTTTATATAAACTATTTTGATTACGTTTAATAAATTGTATTCTTCACATATGTTTAAAACCTATCAACTCGTTATTTAAGTAGCATAGCTGACTCAGTAAAATTGAAGCGAGTCAATCTTCCAGGTTTAAAACACAATGAGTCAATGGCCCATTTTATACTGCATAAGCTCGTATAGAGAAATGACTGGACTCTTTATCAGAATCCATAACCTCTACATCATGTGGCTAGACCCATTAGTCTAATAGAGCGACTTCCATCTTTCGAATCCAATTTCTTTCCTCAAATTTAGGGAATAGTACTCTATTGGTGATTATCAGATTTCAGGTCAGGATGGCTTGTAATCCATCTCAGCCACATATATACCTTCGTGGCAAGTTTCCAAAATTAACTCCTTTCCGTCATTAATCCATATATGGTCAAATATTAAAATATCTAAGGGGGTGTTTTATAATGTAAATTATTTTTCTTATTATAGGTTTTAAAAACAAATCAATACCATCTTGTTTGAAAACAGATTGTTTCGTAACACAAAAGCACAAGAAACATGTTTTGGTTGTGTATGTGTTTTTTGTTTTCAAAACTGAAACTAAAACTTGTTCTTGGATCTGGTTTCAAAAACATATTTTCATCTAATTACTCAACATTATATTTCATAAATCATATAATTTCTATATTAAAAAAATATTTTTGTTTTAAAAACCAATATTTTGTTGGTTCTAAAAACATATTATTTTTTGAAACAGAATCAACTTATTTTTCCCTTTGAAAACAAAAACAGAGTCCAAGAAAATATTTTTGTTTTTTTCTAAAAACAAATGAAAACAAAAACATTAATATTGTAGAACACCCCTCAATGTACTGGCAACCAAAGCATACATCACACCATCTGGGCAATACTCTCATCCAGCACATTTATTGGTAAATTGCCTTTTGATTAGGAAAATCATGAATTTCTTGCTTGGGAGATTTTGACACCCTAAAGCCTCAAAGTTTAGAAAACCAAACTGCACAGTAGGAAAAATTCAGCTTGCTTTAGAACAAATATCCACTTAAAAAAAAAAAAGAAGCCTAAGGAACTTAAAATGTAAAAATGTAAAATTAAGGGTGCATTTCTATAAGCTCTAATTCGTATAAAAAAGTAATCCTTCTGCCCTTAGAAATAGATTAGAATCCCCATCATAATCTTAAACAGTAAACAGCAGTAAAGTCTACCTTTTCTAAAACGAAGTTTACTTTTTCTCTGCTTTTGAAAAGAATAAAAGAAAAAGAGAAAAAAAAAATGAAACCTGACAAACACAAGAACTTTTCTTCTTTAAACTCTGAACTTTTACTCTAAAAAGCAACTTTTGGGAAAGTATCGAACATACCTTTCCTCGATTCTTTTGTCTTTTTTACTTCAAAAAGTAAAGAAGATGGTTGTAATGCTGTTATGCTGATGAAACAAATGTACCTAAATTATAGAGCCCGGATCTGATCCTCACAAAGCGCTCCTCACACTAACCTCACAAAGCTTTCCAGCTGCACATCCGGAACAGGCTACTCCATGGTGCAATCTCAAAACTTTTTTTTCCTTCCTTTTTCTCTTCATGAGAGGGTTGTTGGAACTTGTTACTCCATGATAGAAGGCTGTGTTTAATGGCTTGTTTCTTCATAAGGAGTTTGAACTCTCTCTCTCGGTCTGTGAAAGCAGGACACGTTAAATGGCTTTACAAATTACGGTGGATTAACAGAAAACCGAGTCTGGTCTCAAAATGTCACGCCAAAGCATTCCAACATTTCAGCCACTATGGATTCACAGTCATCAATATGTGGTAAGACACTAATGATATAAATATATATGATCACCATATAAATACATATAACATAATCGATCTCTATGTGAGCACACAGACCTGTTTCAGAACAGAACTTTGTCTAACAAGAGCATTAGTCATTGATCACTCAAGCCATACTTAATGGCATTATATTGTATAATGACTGCGATGCTTGCATAATGGCTTAGATTTTAGTTCTAGTACTTGAAGGACTAAGATCTTGACTGAAGTAAACAGGACCGAAGCATGTGTGTGTGTGTATATGATAGTGTAAGCACAGGTCTTGTGATGCTGACGACTATAGTAAATGCTAACTTCCCTACTCAATAAAACCTCCCTCGGTAAATCTGGTTTTGTATGGGGTTTTACTTTTTGATAGGTCCTGCATCTAGTTGTTTGACATTTGCGTGCACTGGAACTGGGTCAGCTGGAAGCCCCACCTCTGCTCATAAACCTAAAAGCGGAGATACCCAAGCGCAGGGAGCAAATAGTGGTTCTTCACGAGAACAATCAGATGAGGATGATTTGGAAATAGAAGCTGGGTCTTGTGAACAAAGCACGGATCCCATCGACTTAAAACGCATCAGAAGGTACATTATAATGTACCCAATAAGGAGTTCATATATAGAAATTGCAATATTACGAGTTCAGATAGAACTGTTGCTGATATATGTATTTGGATATTATTCTAGTCTTCACTGAGGTGGTTGTTTTGATATCAGGATGGTATCAAATAGAGAATCTGCTAGACGATCGAGGAGAAGAAAACAAGCACATCTGGCTGATCTTGAGTTGCAGGTCTCAATCTTCAATGAGACTGTTTTGAATAAGTCACCTGTGTATAGTAGTCCAATTCTTCTTTGAGGTCTATATATATCTTATTCAATAGGTTCATTCAATTTTTTTTTAATTTGTATTCAGGTTGATCAATTACGAGGGGAAAATGCTTCACTGTACAAGCAGCTGACTGCTGCAAGTCAACAATTCCATGAAGCTGCTACTGATAACCGGGTGCTTAAATCAGATGTTGAAGCTTTGAGAGTGAAGGTATAAGCTACTAATAATCTTACCTGCCATGCAAGTAATGAGTGATATCTCAGTATTAGAGAAAAAAGGATCTAAAGATCCCAAAAAATATTAGAATAATTTCCATGAGTAAATTAATCCATAGGGCCCATCTATATCACAATGGTTAAACAATTCCAAAACACAATTACATGGTTTTCTTTTGTTTTATCACATACATGTAAATAAATTTGTGATATAAAATTGTTTTATCATATAACTTTCTAATAAAATCAAATTATTTATCCAATATAAAAATGATACAGTGAATAGTAAGTATTAGGTAAAAAACACCAAAGATGATAAAAAATATTGTACATAATTAAAGTTCTTTTTACTGATAACCAACTAAATGACCAGTAATTAATCCTTAGATTCTATAGTGAAGAACGGTAGTGCACAAATAGCAATGGCAGCGAGCCCTTGTATCAAAGAAATAAAACTTAAATAGGGGCGCTCATGAAAGTATGGAGTTGTCTATAATATCCTACTGTGTTTTAAGGGCTGGCTGCTGCTGTGGATCTTTTCACTTGCATTTATCTTCTGTTGAGATTATCTATTCCTCTATAACTTGGGTACAGCATGAATGATGAAATAATATGTAATCATAGTACCATACTAATAACAAGAATTAGATTGTGGAGCATTGGTTGGAGCACATACTCACTTAAAATATTTTCTTTTCATGCCAACTTCATTGCAAAGGTGAAATTCTGTAGTCATTGTAACTTTTGAGGTTAAGTAAATGAAATGCAACAATTTTCGACATCACCTGCTGCATATAATCATATATAGCTTTGTAATTCCTGATATTCCTATCCATCTTCCTCAGCCTCAGAAATCAAATGTTTATTATATCTTATTCTCAACACAAAACTTCAATGTCTCAACATTCTCAATTGCAAGGAATTCTTTCTGATGATTACTTTAGTCACACAACCATAATCATGAACATGTATGCAAATGAAGGTCATCTTATATGGTCTTTTCCCCTGTTAATTTTGTCTCTTGATCTACACATTACCAATGTGTAAACATGCTCTAAAAGAACCCAAAATGCATTTCAGGTTAGGTTGGCAGAGGATATGGTTGCTCGAGGTTCTTTGACTTGTAGTTTGAATCATCTCCTTCAAAACCATTCCAGTTCACCACAATCACTTAATACCCACAACTTATGCCGTGTGCCAGAGGTCTTACCAAGCGTGGGCACCCCGGGAGAAGATGCATCTTATGCTGGCATGTCTATTAACAGACAAGTAGCATCCCTTGGACTGGAAAATGGGGATGCTGATAATGGTAGTGCCAAGAATAGATTGAATGGAAACGCAGCACCATTGCAGAGGATAGCAAGCTTGGAACATCTACAAAACAGAATGAGTGATGCTGTGAGCTGCATATCTGAGATTTGGCCATGAGAATCAGTCATATAATGTCAATGTACAACTAGGGCTTTGTTGTGCTCTAAAAAGCTCCTATTGCTAAGAAAGAACTTTTGTTTTGAGTTTGTACTGTGTTTCCTTTCTCCTTCTAATTATTATTCCTAGCAAAGTACAGTGACATTTGCTTTCTAAAAGGTAGTTAATCATTTAAGTCTACTTTTATTACGGTTAGGGGTGAGATTGGGTCCATCAGTTTGCTTCCAAGGCAGAAGTTGGAACCTACCCTGCAGGGATCATTTCCAAGTTTTTAATTATAGGCCCAATTTTGGCCTTGGTGGTTTCTAAGGCCCGTTCTAGGGTCTACCTATGGAAATTATTCTTTTTTTACCACTCCAAAAAAGAAAAATGAAATATATTCTTTAAAACTTGATTTTTTATAATAACAATAATAATATAATTTAAAATTTATCATTATAATTTACATGTGTAAATATTACTTTTTACATTATTTATTATACATATTCAAATATTAAATTGAAGAAAAATGATCCAATCATTTAAACGACTCAATAGTTAAGTAAGACCATGGTGTTTGTAAACACGAGTGCTTGGGTTAAAATCTTCACATCCTCAAAGTATTTTTTAGGTTTTTTCAAGGCAAGTTTGGTTTCAAGGCCAACCAAGGTTGGCTCTCTAGGTTGATTCAAGTAGAATAAACCCCTAACCCCTGTAACCGGCCTAGGTGGGCATATAACCTAATCAATAATAGATTGGATAGGGTTGGTCCAAAGCCAATTCAATGTCAGCTTCATTCAATTCCGAGTATAGCCTTTCTATTTGCTCACCCCTAATTCCTGTGCTTGTCTCATGGTTTATATTTGTTATTTATTTTTCACTGCAGTAAACTTCTAGGCAGTTATGTGGTTCTTAAGCTTGATATGTTGAAGGCCTATGATCGTTTGGACTAGAATTTTTTATTTGTTGTTCTTTCTAAGTTTGATTTCTCTAATGACTGGATTTCTTTAATGAAGAAAATTGTATGTAATTGTTAGAGGGATGTATGCATGGTTACTTAATCCTCCAGAGGTTTACGACAAGGAGATCCACTCTCCCCGTACGTTAATGGTTCAACGAACTCTCTGAAGAAAGTTAATGGTTTTCTTTCAGCATATGAGGAAGCTTCATGGCAAAAGATAAACAAAAGGAAAAGCTCTTTCTACTCTTCTAGCAAATTATCAGCCACTAGAATCAATATAATCAGAAATACTGTCGGTTTTGATAGACAGGCCCATCCTTGCAAATATCTGGGGGTTCCCATACACAAGGGTTAAAGCTCGTAGCTACATGTTTGGAAAGGCAAGCTTCTTTCTGCAGGGGCAAACTTATCCTTCTAAAACATGTGCTATCCTCCATTCCTTTGCATCTCTTAATGGATTTTGATCTTCCTAGGAGTATCCGGCTTTGACTTGAACAAATTCTGAAGCATTTTCTTTGGTCGAACTCTGGGAAGGAAAACACAACTGGGTCTCATGATGGCACAATGTTTGTCATTCTCCTGATGAAGAGGGCCTTGGGCTGAAAAGCATTGAAGACAAATAAAATTTTCAGGCAAAAATCTTTGTGGAGAGCTATGTCTATAAATAGTTGCTGGTTTGATTTCTTTAATGCAATTAAAGATGATCAAGGCTTTAAAAAAAGGTAGTTATTTTCATGGATCTTTCACACTTGGAAATGCAATCCTGGCTACCTTCCTTTTCTTTTCGAACACTCCATTTGGCATATCTATACTATCTATAAAAGAGCGAATGGCCCCTTTTCTGGAATTTTCATTGGACGTTTTCTATCCCCTTGTCTAAGAATACAGTGGGCATAAAGAGGGCATATGTGTCCTTTACTTTCACTTTACAAACTGTCCACTTATAACTGTTCAGAAACTGCCCACTTGTAACCATTCAGAAATTGCCCATGAGTTATAAATAGTTTTGTCTTAGAGTTATTGTCACGTGCAAATGCATGTACATGTTTACTAGTATATATAAGAGAAAGAAAGATTAATTTTTGGGTTGAGAACTAGTTTGCTCCTTTTCCTCCGATCAGTTTGCTTCAAAATCCAGCTCATGGTAGATGTGCGGATAAAGAAATTATTGCCACTTTAGCAATGCTGATGGAGCTTGTATTGGTAATCTAGGCCCTTATGGGGGTGGTGGAATAATAAGAAGGGTTGTTTTGTCTTTGCATTTTCTCAGTGGTATATATGGGCATGGTACCAACACTTCAGTTGAATATAGAGCAATTTAATTTGGATGCTATATCAGATTTTGTAAAGCTTTGGGACTATGGGAAGTCACTATTGAGAGACATTCAATAATGCTCATGTTGGAGGTCCTAAATAACAAGGCTCAACTTCCATGCATGGTCTATTTTTGGTTGGTTAGACTCAATTCAGCAAAATTCAGAGTGGAGTTTGTTCCCATTTTGAGAGAAGGTAATTATGTTGCCGATGCTCTTTCAAAGCATCTGGTTCACAAAGACACTTCCTTTTGCTTTCAATCATCTTCTTCTCTTCCATGGGAATGATACAATTTTTATTTTAATAATCTCTTGTATATTCCTCAGATTAGACTTGATTAATTTATTGTTTTTATGGTTGGGTTTGAGAGATAAGGGTGTGAATATCATGTATATGGGTTTTGGGGCAAGGTGGGCTATGTCCTCCCCTATAAAATCTTTTGATTATTTCATTTCAATAAAATTTTAAGGTGGACAACCCTCAACCTGGAGTAAAGTTTGCAGTTGTTTTTGAACATTTTTCTTGAAAAATTAAAATCAATATAAATTTATAAAATATGATTAAAGCTTGACTTTCTCTCATGTCTATGAGGACTGCCAACTTGTATTATTTAGGGTCCATTTGATTCGCAATTGAAATCAAAATACATTGGAATTGAAATCAGAATTGTCTATTCCCATCTATTTGGTTCAAACAAGAATGGGAATGAGTAGGAATGGGATTTCATTCCCGAGGGAGGGAGAAGGAATGGTCATTTCCTCAAATGGGGAAAAATGCCATTCCAGTAGGAATGGGAATGGAATTCTAATTCTATCCAATCAAACAGTTCAAATCGGAATATATAGCCCATCCCGATTTTGATTCCAAATCCCTTTTCCTGCGAACCAAACAGGGCCTTAATATTTTAGATGTCCTTAGTGCTTCAAAAAATTATTTTCGATATACTTGATTGAACCGGCAGCATATGTCAATAATGCCTGATTTCCCTTATAGAAAAACTAAGCATTATTATCAGTTGTTATATTTGCCTTGACAAATAAATGCTTGTAGTAGCACCATTTATATTTACCCTATATCACATTATCTATCATCTATTCTACATTCATATTATGGTTGTCATATAACCTACAATTAATATATATTTTTAGCCCCAAATATTCTCTAGGAGGAGGGGCACCACTATTAAATTTTATTAGAGAAATGACATCAATCTCTCACCTAACAGCTTAAGCTTTTAGGTTGAATGGTTCTTTGAGATGGTATCAGAGCCACTTTGACCAAGTGGTCTAGTGTTCGATCCTCATTACTCCATTATAATTAATTAAGTTTCAACACAAAGTATGGGTGTGCTTGTTCACACTTCAAGACCAAGGAATAGGTTAATATTCTCTAACACACCCCCCTCACATGAAAGCTCATTGGGTTTGAAGTGTAAACAAGCACAGGTTCTCCCCCGAAGCTTTCTTTTCTCAGTTATTTAAATTACCACTTCGAATAATCTTGATTTCTCCAATATGCCTCATGACCTTTTGGAATTTGTCATTCCTAATGACACCAATGATATTCTCTACAGGACTCCCACCCCCTAAGAGATTATATAACTAGTCTATCTTTTCTATTGGCCCATACAAGGCTCTAGGGCTAAATGGGATGCCAACCATCTTTTATCAATAATACTGTTGGGAGGTCATGGGTGCAAACGTAGTGGCATTTGTTCAATCCTCTTTCCAAGATTCGAGCATCATTGGCACACTTAATTCCACTGATATTTTGATACTGAAGAAGAAGGATATTGAGGTTGTGGCTGATCTTTGATCGGCCTATTGGGCTCTCCAGTGTAATTTATAAATCTATTGCAAAGATCATCACTGATCCTCTTCAGCATTTTCTTGATACTTTAGTCGCACCTCTCCAAAATTCTTTTGTTCTTGGACGTTAGATTGTGGATAACTGCTTTATAGCCTCTAAGGTTCTTCTCTCTATGCACAAAGTAAAAGGTAGAGATGGAAGTTTTATGTTGAAGGTTGATCTTCCTAAAGCCTACAGAAAAGTTGAATGGAGTTTTCTACTTCACACTCTTAAATTCAATGGCTTTTTAAAGAAATTTTGTGTTTTAATCAGTGCTTATATTGCTTCAAGGTAGTATAATATCTTATTTAATGATGAAAGAAGTGTCCACATCTCAACTTCACGAGCACTCGGAAAAGGTTGCCCCTTATCACCATATTTTTATTCATCTTGTATATTGATGTCCTCCCTCATTATCTTAATTTGCTCCATGATATGGATAGTGGTAGGCTTGTTGGCTTCAAGCTTGAAAGGGGATTATGTAAGTTCAACTACTGGTTATTTGTTGATGATATTCTCCTCTAATTAGATGAACCTTCTTCACCTCTCCTAGTTCTCACAAGAAATCTCTCATTACTTTTTCCAATTTCTTAGCCTCCCTGGGGAGAATCCTAAAGGCTGAAAGGAAGTAGGTTAGAAGGTTGGCAAGTGTGGCTCTAATCAAAGTCACCCGGTGTTGCCAGAAGCGTGTCGTTAACCACTTCATAACATAAATTTAATAATTTAGGAAATTTTCCAATCCTCACGTAACCTTAAACAACGTAGTACGTGGTGAGGAAGGGGTCAAACCTACAGGAAAGCAAGATTAAAAATTATTATTATTTTGTTCCAGACAAATAAAAGGAAAATGGATTTGGGATTTTTAGAAAATAAGAAAATGGAATTTATTAATACTGAAATTAAAGGTTCGGAATGAAACAAGACAATAATTAAAATTCAAAAATTAAAGAACACTGAAATCAACAAAAGAAAACAAATAAAAGTGATCCAGAATTCGGATTCAGTGGTGGTAGCTGTCCGGGAAAACAAAATACAAGCTTTCTCCTTCCTTTCAGCCCACGAACCCCTCGAGACACCTTAGCCTTGAACCGGACGAATTCAGATCTACAAAACAAACAAACAAATAGAAATTAAATCTAAAAGATTACTGGAATAAAAATAACATAAAAGTAAATAAAGAAAACGAAAGGGATGGTTGATCAAATCTAGTGGCGATAGTTGCAGATTGGCTGGACTGCTTGCAAGAACCCCTCTTGATAAGATCTGTGCGTCCTTCCTTTCTACAACCCTTGAACTCCTTAAGAAACCTTAGCCTTGTGAATTGGGTGATTTAACCAACCCCTTCTCAAGGGCCCCTTGGATCCTTTTTATAAAGAATGGTGGACATAACTAGGATTAGAGAGGAAGAGATGGGCATCTCTTGGGTTTATGCAAAAATATGGACACCCTAGGATTGAGAATGTAGGGTTAGGATTGTCCTAAGGTGATCCTAAGGCTGAGAAGAGAAGGAGAGGGCGCCCAATATTATGTAGGGTTGAGATTTGGGCACCCAGAATGGAGGGAGCAGATTTGGGTAACTAGAGCTGGAGAAAAGTGATTGGTTGGTGTGATGTGACACCCTAAGGTGATTGGTTGAGGTTTAAGTAGTGAGGTGTAAGGCTAGGATGCTGTCTAGGGAGAGATCTAAGGGTATGAGGGACTGCTAAGGCTTGGATGGTTGGGATTAGAGGTTTGGAGAGAGTGAAGGGTGGAGATTTGATAGCCTAGGGTGGCTAGGGTTTGTTAGAGGTGAAAAGAATGAGTGGGGAGACGACCTAGGGTTTGCTAAGGAGAGGGGAGTATGCCAATACAGTAGGAGGGGCGCCTATCTGGGTTTGGCAGATTGGAGGCACCCTCTTGTGCTCAGTTTTTCATAAAAAACACCCCCTCTCTCAGTTGAAATTCACACTAGCTTCCCAAAAACTGCATTTCAGCCCTGAAAGTTCCCCAGTTTTCCTTATGATTTGTACAGGGACCCTCAAATGTCGCAATATTGAATTTAACTAGGGAAAATGACACATTTTGACTATGTTAAGGCCTAAAATACCCCTGAAATGATGCCCTTAAGTCATCAAAATACAGAGTTATCACACCCCCAACTTGATCATTGCTAGTCGCTTAGCAATGTTGCCTTAAAATCCTACTGAGTAAAGAGATCATTCTCATTGTAAGATCATCCCTGACAAAATTAGCGAAGTATCTTGATTCCAGAATTCTCAAACTTTGTATAGATCAATATTGGGTTTAAGGGATAAAACCATTATGTTTTGAACATTACAAAAACTTGGCTTACAAATCTTATATATCCTTCCATTTGCAGACTGTCTCGATAAGCTGAGATTGATTTTTAAATCGGACAGGTATTCTTCTTACCATTTCTAACAATGGATTTATACCCTTGAACTTTGAGATGCATTTTTATTGGTACTTTCCACCGTTTGATGCGAATCTCGACACTTGCCTTAAGTAAAGAGACTCAGTTACTAAGTGTTAGGTGATTGTCTTTGGCATTCCCTTTTCCGTTTGACGCAAATATCTGCACTTAGGTGAAGAGATCCGGTTACTAAGTCTAGGGTGTCCATTGACCTTTTATTCCTTTTTTTTTGAAACACTATTTAGGGTAGTCCGCTGTCTCTAATGACTTGAAGAATTTTTGTCTAATTTCTCAATCTTTCCCTTCTTATCCTATCAAGGGCAAACTTGGGAGTAATTTCCAATTTCTAAATGGATTTGACAACATCCAAATAAGACCAATTTTGACTTTATCACTTGCTACCAATTTCTACAAAATTCAATATTCTTCTATCAATTTTGGAAAAACTTAAAAATTTCTTAGTAAAAGTTTTAGTTCTACGTTTCTAAAGGCTTAGCTCTTATTTTTTTTTTTCAAATTTTCTCTCTCTTTCCTCACCTCCCAACTTAAGTGCCATTGTCCCTAATGGCATGACTAGAATGTTGCAAAGGGACTTGGGCCAAAGGGAACAATCAAGAGAGTTTTCCCAAGGGGTTCAAAGTCTGCCAACTCTAATCCTAAAAGCAAAAGCAACTAAAAAATACGTTGGGTTGCCTCCCAACCAACGTTAAGTTTAACGTCTTCAGCCAGACACACTCACTCACTTCTTACATTTGTACTTCCATACTCGCTTTCTTCCTTACACGGACAGGGCTCAGATTGGGCTAACCAAAGGGTAGACAAGGCATCTACAAGGTCATCCACTACCTCTACCTTGAATACATCTTCCCCTAGGTTTGGATGCTTAGTGGCACTAAATACATTTAATCGGACTTTCTGCTCCCCAAATGAAATGTCCATTTCTCCTGATTTATAGTTGACGTTTGCATTGGTAGTTGTTAGAAACGGACGCCCTAAGATTATCGGGTTATGGTTCAGTTCCTTGGTTGGGGTCATGTTTAGGACGATAAGATCCACTTGGAAGTAACAATCATCTACTCTGACAATGACGTCCTCAATAACATCTCGAGGAGTCCTAACTGATCGATCGGCGAGTTGTAGAATTACCGGGGTAGGTTTTAACTCGCCGATGCTGAACCTTTCATAAATAATAGAGGAAAGCAGATTTACACTGGCCCTAAGATCCAATAGGGCCCGATCGAAAGTAATTCCAGAGATGACACAACTTATTAAAGGAGCATCATGGTCTTTCATTTTCCGAGGGAGTTGGTTTAGGAGAACCGCACTAATGTGGACTTGCTTGAATACATAGCTCTTTCAAGAACTTGGCGTAGGTCAGGACATGTTGTATTGCATTGAGGAGAGGGGTGTTAATATGGACTTGCTTGAATAACTCCCTGATCTCCTTGTTGCGAGTCTCTTTCGTCTTTCACAACGGCCCGGCTGCGAGTGCGGTTGGAAAGGGAACTACAGGTTGGTTCACTATAGGTTCTTATTGTAAATTTTCCTTTCCTTTTACTCCCCAAAAGGATCATGAATTAATAGATTTTTTCTAATGGATCACTTAGTTTCCTATTATATTAAGTTGATTATTTATTGGAGTCCCTAATTACGTGGCTTAATGAGACTTTTGACAAGGGGCTTAGGAGTAGTGGGAATGGGTTTGAATGAGGTAGGCACAAAGTTGTAAGCACGTTTAATGAGCACTTGAAAAATTATTTTGACACCTGTCCCTTAAAATACCCTCACCCGACCCTTGAAAAAGATTAATACCCACTTTTGACAGTTGTCAAAATATTTATAAGTGCTCATTTAATGTGCTTACTTTGATGTGCCTACTAGATCCGGTCCCGGTGGGAATGGTAAGGGAGAGAGAATTAAGGAGAGTGCAAGATGGGGGTTTGGAGAAAGGAGAGGCCATGTGGCGTTGACAACTTTACTTTATATATATATATATAGTATAGATTTAAATCTTTTACCCTTTTATAGCAGGGTATATTTAAGTCATTTACCCTTTTTATAATAGGTTCCAATTTTTATTTGTTTAGATAAAGAAAAAGTTGATTCCTAAATAAACCATAAAACTGACTATGGAATCACCAAGACCACAATTGACCCTAACGGAAACTCGAATTCATTCATCACAAAACGGTGCTCACACTATACTCACAACCACTTGCAACTATATATTGGGAGTATCTCCTTGCTTATATGTTTTTATTCAGAAAAGATATTCCCAATGCGCAACTCCAGGTGGTTGTAAGGCGTGAGAAGTGAATCTATTTCCCCTAATGGAACCGAATCGTGTTCACCATGGCCTTGTATTAATTTTCTTATTTGGGTTTTACTATTATATCAAAAAGATATGATATCTGAAAAAATTCTGACCAATCAATTGGAATTATAAATGTGGTAGCCAATCAAGTGTTATTTATAAAAGGGTAAAATATAAAAACCGCTCTTAAAGTTTCTAACAATCATAAAAACCTCCCCTATAGTTTCATTTTAATAAATTCCTCCCCTGAACTTTTGAGAAACTCGACAAAAACCTCTCTTCCCTCACCTTCTAGATAGAAAATGCTAAACTAATGCATCAGTTTTTTTTTTTTTTTTTTCTAAATACCCATTCTACCCTTTGGCAAACTATTTTACATACAAAATTACTGAAATAACCCTATTTTAACTTGAGAAAAACATCCTCTAACGGTTCATCTTCTAAATTTTTTGTTGAGTTAAAATAGGATTATTTCAGTAATTTTGCTTGTATATAAAATAGTTTATAAAAGGGTAAAATGGGTATTTAGAAAAACCGATGTCACTAAACTAGAAGGGAGGTTTCAAGGGAGGTATTTATTAAAATGAAACCATAATAAAGGTTTTTATGATTGTAAAAAAATTTAGGAGAGATTTTTGTATTTTACCCTTATCAAAATTCATAAATGGATTTTGATCGGTGAAAACTCTTCGGTTACCATGTACCCATTTCCCGAATAATAGATAGATTTTCCCTTTTTATTTGTACTCTTTTTTATCCTAAGATCAGATATTCTTCTTTTGGCTACACTAGCCAGTCACTAAACTGTATGAACGGCTAAGATTTTAGGATAATGTGCTCAACGTACAGGGCTTTCGTTTCGTCTTTAACGTTTTCCGGAAAACACAGACAAAGCTTCGGCTACCACATGACGGTATAAAATAAGGGAAATTATAAATGCTTAAAGTGGGAGTCTTTAGGAAAACCCTAAAATCTTTGCGGGAACCCTGAACCCTAAGGAGCTTTTCCCTCTATCTTCTCTGTTTCGTCACCTCGCCGCTGCAGAAGCGACACTCGATCTCGATCGAAAATGAAGGTTCGTTCTGAAAACCTCAATGTGGAATTTCTGTTCCGAACCGTAACCTAGCACGCCTGTTCTCATTCTAATCATCTTCGTTTTCGATGCAGTTCAACATCGCAAATCCTACTACAGGATGCCAGAAAAAGCTTGAAATCGACGATGACCAGAAACTGTGAGTGCCAATGCCTTTCCCATGTTATATACTTTTTCTCTTTAAAAACCAATGATCTTCCGTGTCTTCATTTCGCCATTGTCGGGAATTTATTCGATAGAAGCGGACAAGAAGATCTAATGGGTAACTTGTCTGATTCCGATATTAGTGGCTAGTTGTTATCTCAATAGTTCTAATGATGTGCTTTTAGGGCAATTTTAGTTTTGTGGCTTTGCGACTATAGTTTATAGAAAACTTTGATGCCTCAACCTGTTCTTCAAAGTTTTCTTTTTTTTTTTTTTTTTTTTTTAGCGATAGCAACCGGAAATTTTTCATTTTCTTGGTGGGAATTTTTGCTTAGCTTCATTTATCAAAAAAAAAAATTGCTTAGCTTCTGAATTTGACCGTGTGGTTCTAGTGGATCTGGGAAAATCTTAGGCTCAGTTTTGAAGGAGTACAAATACAAATATGTTGAGTGCAAATACATACAAAATACAGGGTTTTGCGCTCTACATATTTGTATTTGTACTCCTTCCGGACTAAGCCTTAGGTTGTGTTTGGTTGCAATGCAAAAATTTGCAGTGATGCAAAACCATGGTAGTGCAAATGATTTGAGTGTAAATTCTGACCTATTTTTGTTTCACGTTTTAGCTTATTTTGTTTGATTGCAGTAAAAATGAAGTAAATAAGACATGAAGCAGAATAAAGTAAAATCCAGAGCAAAATTGAACAAGAATTTGCATTTTTTACACTAGTGCAATATTTGCACTGCAACCAAACACAGCCCTATGCTCAAATCTCTAGTACGAAAGAGGGATTCCTATCTAAGACAATACCATCTTGTACCATAAATAAGCACTAGGATGTTTTCCCCTTCTTCAGGGGCATCTCCATGCCTTCATCGATGAGTATTATTCCTTAACCTCTTGGTTTTCAGCATATTTGTCAAGGCATTGCCTGGGCGAGTAGGTGACTAAGCACCCACTGTAGGTGACAAAAATGCCAAGGTGGGCGCTTATAATATCATTTGTATTGCTGCATCTTACTAATATGTGTGTGAATACATTCTATTATATACTATGTTTTACCATTGAAAATTTAAAAGATCAAAAGGTTTTGAGAGAAAAAGAAAGAATACAAGTATAGAGAGTTTTTTTCCTTTCGCTCTCTTCAATTAATCAAAACAGCAATTGCATCCCTTTTCTTCTATTTCTATCCATCTTGAATTTTCATCACATAAAGTTAATAACCTTCTTTTAGCATATAAACTAATATAATCCCTTTGCTCTACATCCCTGTTGAGATAGTAATTCTAAATTGAATGATCTTAAATCTATCAATTATGAATTCTTTGTATTGTTCTATAAATGCATTAGCAAGTCCTTTACTGCATTTTTTGTCGTAGGTTTTATAATTCCCTAGTAAAGATTATACACTCTAAGCAGAGGGTGTTTATTACCATTGCTTTGGTTTCTTGGAGGATGCCAAGTCTGTGTATTGGGAACACTTTAATGGTTTTTGGTTCTAATACTTGACAAAAGACACAAGGTCATTGCCATTTTCAGGAAATTTTTTACCATAATTTTTCCAAGAACTAACTTTCAGTTTTACATGTGTTCTTGTGTCCTTGAAGCACTTTGTGTCCATGATTTCTTACTCTTCCTGATTTGTTATATTACAGCCGAGCATTTTTTGACAAGCGGATCTCACAAGAGGTCAGTGGAGATGCTCTAGGCGAGGTATGTTTGCAACTTCTCCAAATGTGTTAGTTTCTTTCAAATAGGGATATCCTTTTAATTGTAATCTTGGTAAAACTTGCAGGAGTTTAAAGGATATGTTTTCAAGATTATGGGAGGCTGTGACAAGCAAGGTTTTCCCATGAAGCAGGGAGTACTGACTCCTGGCCGTGTTCGTCTCTTGCTACATAGAGGTTGGTGGAAAGGGGACCCTTCTGCTTTAAAAATATCCATCCTAAATACAATTTGTAGAAAGTTGTTTAGGTCAACTATCTTGTTATTGGATCTGTAACTCTACCTTTTTAACAGCATCAAGTGGTACAGGTTACTGAATTATTCTTTTCTTCTCCCTTTTTCTTTGTTAGGAACACCTTGCTTCCGTGGATATGGCAGGCGAAATGGAGAGCGAAGGAGGAAGTCAGTGCGTGGATGCATCGTCAGCCCAGATCTCTCGGTTTTGAACTTGGTGATTGTGAAAAAGGGTGAGAATGATCTTCCCGGATTGACTGACACAGAGAAACCAAGAATGAGAGGTCCAAAGAGGGCATCAAAGATTCGGAAGCTCTTCAATCTCTCCAAACAGGATGATGTTCGCAAGTATGTGAATACATACCGCCGAACCTTCACAACCAAATCTGGTAGGCTATCTAATTACTTATTGAAGCCTTATCTTTAAGATAATTGGTATAGTTGCAAGTGGTTATCTTTAAGCTAATCTGGTAGAAAATCTTAGTTGCAACAATCTGATTTAATGAATTGGTATATTTCCTGGCCCACAGGGAAAAAGTGCAGTAAGGCTCCAAAGATACAGAGACTGGTGACTCCATTGACCCTACAAAGGAAGAGATCAAGGATTGCCGAGAAGAAGAAGAGAATTGCAAAGGCCAAGGCGGAAGCTGCAGAATATCAAAAGCTACTTGCCAGTAGGTTGAAGGAGCAGAGGGAACGCCGTAGTGAGAGCTTAGCAAAGAAAAGATCAAGACTCTCTACTGCTTCTAAGCCATCAATTGCAGCCTAGGTTCATGATTAAGTTTTGGATTTCTCATGTCCGAGGTAAATTTGTCCATGTTCCTTTTTGGATGTTGTGGTATTGTCTTTTGGTAAAACACCCGAGACTTTTGTTCAATGTTTTTAGAGGTTTTGTTTATTTACTTTCCTACTTTTAGCAGATTGCTACTATGAGAAAGTTCAAATTATAGCCGAATCGATTTATATTAGGAAATTTTCATATTCTGCCCTAAAAATATTCAAATCTCATTGCAAAGTCCCTGAACTGGATACGAGTTGCCGGGGGCCTTGATCATGAGTTCAACAAACCGAATTACTTGAGTTTAACAAACCTTTTGCTTGGCCCTTGAAAAGTAATTCAGATTGGGTGATTTTTTCGTCTTATGAATCTCTCTGAATTTTGAATTCATTTTCTTTTTCCTCAAAAGAATGCGTCTAGACCGTAGTGACTAGTCCCACAAACTCGTTGTCTATCCCCATCTTTGGTGGCTTTTGGAACTTTGAGGTCTAATTAGAACTTGTTTGTTGGAGTTGTTGATCACTATGGGAGATTGGGATTTAGTTTCCTTCTATTTAATTTTATATACGTAGTTTCTTCTATGATGTGTGGTTAAGATATGATACCCTATAAAGGCTTTGACCAATCAAAACCCTCCCTATGAAAACTGGTTGATTAATCAGTTTAATTTTAAAAAAAAATTGGTAAATTGGTCTTACTTTCAAGTTCAAGTTATTAAACCAATGATCTCTTATATTCATGTATTAATTAGTTATCGTTAGTCCCTTTTATTTGTTTATTTGTTAACGACTCTTTATTGTATATAATATATTATTTTATTATACATATTTTAAAAATATATATATAAATTAAGAGACTTAATCTTGGTAATTTGCTTTAAAGATTAAGAAATTTGCCATCCATCCATTATATTTAAATATAAAAAAATTATAAAATATATTATATATAATATTTATATTATCCATAGTATATATTGCATGTCTTGTCATCATGGTTTGATGTTTGATTTGACCCTAATTGGTCCTTTGACCCGTGGGTCTCTTCCTTTTCTGGTTTCTATACGTTCTTTAAACATTGGTACTACTTTTATGGTGGTGGTTGATTTATTATAAGTTTTTTTCTGGCATCATAATTGAATCTTAATAACATTCATTTTTTTTTATATATATTGGAGGGGTATACTTATTAGGAATAAGAGAGTGCGGAGGCCAAGGAAGGGTCTCTCACCACAGGCCTCACATGGAAGTCTCCCATTCTCTCATTCTTCACAATAGTGAAATATTAGAAATTCTCTTAATAAGACCATCTTACATCGTAATTTTCCCTATTAAAATCTATCATTATTCTTCTCTAATAAAATTGTTCTTAAATCTCTCCCCCTCTCTTCAATGGTCAATTTTTTTTAATATTTCCCCTTCCCAATTAAAGTCTCATTATTATTCTCTAATAAAATTGTTCTTAATTCTCTCCCCCTCTTCAATAGTCAATTTTTTTTTTTAATATTTCCCCTTCCCCATTTAATCCCCTAGTTTTTATTAAATGTCTTTGAAACGCTTTTAACCCTCTTTAATAAAGAATGGCAATTATAGGCCAACCTTCAACATGAACCTTGGCTTAGAATCAAATAGATGTAAAAACTTAAATTCACTAACCTAAATCTAGCATAGATACGGATTCAATTTCCACAACCACTGACTTTGGGAGGGGGTTATTAGTAATGAAATCACCAAATACCTAAGAGAGAGAGAGACCTATCCAAATTTCTATTCAATCCCATGCATTTGCATGGGTTTGCTTGGTAGTGTTAAAATGTTAAAAGAAATATAAGCATGATAGGTGTTTATCCAATCACATAGGTGATGTTTGGTGACAGTGTTTATCCAACCACATAGGTGTTTATTCAATCCCGTGTGATGTAGGTGATGTTTGGCAACGATGATTTCTCAGAAATCGGCATCACATAGGATGGACATCAGAATTTGAAGATTCAGTGATTTTTTTTCTTGTTTGGTTGGCCGCTTATGTCGATTTTTGAGAAAGAAATCATCCAGAAATCAATTATTGAAATCAGCTCTTTTCAGAGATGGTGATTTCCTGATTTTTAGGATGACATGGCATTGAATAACTCTAATACAAAAAATAGTCAGCCCTGGAAAATCAGTACCAAACGGATTCAATGTCGTTTTTTCAAAAATCATCTTACATGGCATAAATTTCAAAAATGATACCAAACAATAATTTTTGATGATTTTTCAAAAGTCTAATTTCAAAAATCACCGATTTCTGGATAATCGGCAAAGAGAAATCATCATCGATGCCAAACATCACCTGTTCTGAATTCACATTGGCTACCATAAGGCGTGCCCAACTGCCCCACAGCACATCCTAACCGTGCATTGGGAGCATTTCCAAACTCCTTTGTTCTACTAGATCCAATTTTTAATCGTAAATACTTTACAGTTACTAGAGTGAGATCTGACTTTCAACCAAAATCTTAAATCAAGGTGGTTTCATAATTTTCATTTCTAAGTGGTAACTAACAAGTAGGGCAGGAAGTTTTGACTCAAACCCATTTACCCACCACTTGAAATCCTCCCATACCCACATATTTGAGTAATGGGTCAAATATGGGTCGTGTAATTCATTTGAGTACGAGGGGAAAGGGGTTAGGGTGAGCTGGTTTGTTGTTAGGGGTGTTCACAGTTTGAAGAGGTTCTCAGACCAAACTAGTAAGTTATGATTCGAGAAATTTATGGATCAAATCAAACTATTTTAGGATAGAAACCAAACCATTTTATTACATGTGTGTGGAACCATGAACATTTATTCACTAAACATTTGTACTTGATTTGTTTGTAAAATCAAGAAAAGCAATAATAAACCCGTTTATTAACACTTAAGTGCTATTAGGCACTACCTTAGCAAAACAATGAATAAATGCCTACTCATTGGGGGAAGCGCTAAAATGAATCTTCTCCCAACGGTAGGCATGCATATAAATCAAAACTTGCTTTTACAAGTCTCTATGCGTATGAATCCTCATATTGAGAGAAATATTGAAGTAACACCTATGTGGCAGCGTTTATTCAATAAATGCCCATGGTTCCAAACACCGCTATTATGATTTGGTTTGATTTCTTATACAGGTTAGGCCATTCTAATGGGCTTACTCTAATTAGAAAGCCCAAATAGCATGCATACCTACATTAACAAATATGATGCAAATATCAAGTTGAAAGTTACCATTATATAATTTACATTCACATTTTCACAAACAAAATAGCTCCTTAGGCTTTGGTTTGGTTTCTAAAACTTAAAAAACAAAACCAATACAGACCAGAAAATTATGGTATGAGGAATTCTCAGACCAAATTAAACTGCTTTAAGGCCAGATTAGACCAATTTGCTAATTTCAATTTGGTTTGGTGAAATTTGGCCGTCTAGACCATATAATGAACACCCCTATTTGTTGTTCTCCAATACAAGCTTCTAAGTCCTGAAATCAATGATGGATTCCATTAAATTTTATGAAATTTTGGAGTGCTTATAGACAGACGGACCTGGAAACCAGCAAGCGTTTTCTTCTAGAAGAAATTGGATATAAAGGTAGGAGTGTTATATGGTCTAGATCACGAAACTGCACCAAACCAAACTGAAATTGGTTTCTAAATTTTCGAAACTAGGCCAAATCGTAAATTGAATTATTAATAATATAATTATTAATGTATATAATATATTTAAACGATTCACTTGGGCCGGTTTGGAATCGTCACCCATCAATTTAGAGAAATGGAAGTGATGGCCCCTCCATGTATTTTGTTTGAATTCCATTTCAACTTTTTTCTTTTGAGATTTATTGACTTAAAATGCTAAAGTTAGAGAGGTTCTAGCTTCTTAAGTAGGTTTGGCTCTCTTGAACTTGATCAAATAATTGACTTCCTCATTGGATACATTCGGAAGAATTTACAGCATTATTCTTTTCAGGATAGGTGTGATGAAATGCTGAAAATAGGGAGGATTCAAGTCTTTTTAAAAAGGGTTGTCTTGCCAAATGCTGAAAATAGAGAGGTCCTGGAAGTCTACTTGGATCAAATGGTCTAGGCCTTGTTGGGGGTTGAAGAAAATATATTGTAAGCTAAAATGTGTTCAAGTTTCAAGAATTACAGAAAGAAAAGAAGAAAATAAAACAATAATAAAAAAGGAAAACAAAAAAGAGGAAAAGCAAAGAAAAAATTAATAATGTTTAAGATAGGAAAGGAAGGGGTAGGTTATATTTAATGTCTCATATTGCAAATAAAAGTGTACATTTATAAATTCAAGTTTAGTTCTATTGCCTAAATTTTGTGAATATCTGTCTTGTTTGATTTGCTTTGTTATGAATAAGTATGATGTCTTGCTTAATATTTAGCTTCATTTATCATGTGCTATTTACATGCGTATGTGATGGATTTTGGTTTTGCTTCTCTTTTAATTTCCCTCATTGCATGTTTGTTCACACTATTGACACACATCATTTGCATTAGATTTTAGAATTCCTTATCCTATTAGGAGGGGCCCTAGGTGGTAGGTTGTTAGGATCTTGGTCCTACTAGTCATACCAAATACCTTAAATTGGTCACCAACCAAAGAAACCCATTCATTTGATGGGTGGAGGTTTGAAGACTGGATACCTTGTTGGAGCCAAGTGTCTAGATTGAACCAAGTCAACTCATGGGCGTTTACTTAAGTCCTAATTTTTAGTCTAGAATAAATAAGAGAAACCACACTACTTTTAGGATAAGACACGTGTGCTAAGCACTTTTTTAATAAATAAATAAAGTAAATCATGATAGTGATACAATTAAAAAAAAATAAGAGAAAAAAGATGAAGGAAAAGAAGTGAAAAAAGAAAAACAAAAAATAATAATAATACTGATAATCATAAATAATGAAAGTGGTTAATAATAAAATGATAATAGATAATAAAATAAATAATAAATAATAATAAGTAAAAATGATAACAAAAAAACTAGAAATAAAAAATGAATTAAAAATATAAATAAAAAGAAAATGAAAAGAAAAGAAAAAGGAGAAAAGAGAAAAGAGAAGGAAAAAAAGATCAAAAAATGAGAAAAGAGGAAAACATCCAAAATGGAAGAAAGGAGGATAAAAAAGGTAATGGTGAAACAAATAGAAGCGTTTGTGTAAGAAGAGTGAAGGCAAATAAAAGATGTAGAAAGGACAATTTTTTAAAAAGAGGAAAAAAAAAAGAGAAAAGAAGAAGAGAAAAAAGGGAAAAGGAGAAGAAATAATAAAGAAAGGTAATATAAAATGGGTAAAATATAAAGGAATAAAATTTCTTATGTGTTTACCCCTTTATTTTGTATGCTTTGGTTACAGTTGCAAGTTTAGAAATAAGTCGAACCTTTCTAGGTTTTTGAATGAATCATGTATGCTAATTGTTAGTGATTCAACTCGTTCCCTTTTCCTTTGATTCCATAAGTGAAAAAAAAAAAAAGTATTATTTGAGTCTTTTCCTTTTCAAATTTGTTTTAATCCAAATAAAATACTTAATACAATTATTTTAATTTTTTTTTTTTATTTTCACATTAGAGATCCACTTTGTTTGCATTGCATTACACATTGCATTCATTTAGCCTAGTCAACCATAAAAGCATTAGCACCCTCTCCGCCTTAGAGTGACTCGACTCTTTTCCTAAGACTGCTCTCACTCTTCGCCTAAAACTCCTATAATTACTCCCTATAACCCCTATTATAATTGTTCCTCTATTTAATAACTTCAATAATTATTCTCACTCTTTCAATAACTCCTATATTTAATACTACATTTAATAAATTTAATCAATACTCAAATTCAAATTTAAATTTAAAACATGCCATTAAATACACCTTAAAGCCTTAAACTAGTTATAAAAACTATGGCTTTGAAAATCAGATCGGATGGTCAAACCAGTTGACCCAGGAACTGGTCAGGCAATCAGTTCTGTTTCACCCTAAAACCACTCTGCGCCAAAAATTATTGAATTGGTCAATGATCCACTGTCTCGGGCAGCCGAACCGTCGAATCATCAATCTAAACAATGTTTTTTGGCCTTTTTTATTTTAATTACTTTTTTAAAAATTAACGCACCATCCATTCGAACCAAACGGTCAGACCATTTGACCCAAGAAACGGTGGCCAAAATGGTTCCATATTCAGTCCAATTTTTAAAACCTTGATAAAAACTAGAAATATGAGGATTTGGACATTGGTTATTAACATGCAGCCACAAAGCTCTGCTCAACATGCATTTTTATTCTTATGCAATTATTTTATTTTTAAGAGATTTTTTGGCAAAAGATACTAAAATTGATTATTAAAATTTATATACTAATAAATACTAACACAAATTATATTAATTTATGAAAATTATGATATATATATATATACATATATATTCTTCCAGCATTTTTTCAATCTTTGCTAAAATTCATATAATTACTCCCTATATAATTGCTCCTCTCTCTAATAACTTCAATAACTATTCTCTTAATACTATGTTTAATAAATTTAATCAATATTCAAATTCAAATTTGAATTTAAAGCATGCCATTGAATACACCTTAAAGCCTTAAACTAGTTATAAAAACCATGGTTTTGAAAACCGGATTGATCAGGTTCCGTTTCATCCTAAAACCATTCCTGGGCCAAAAACCGTTGAATTGGTCAGTAACCCCCTAACCCGAGTGATCAAACCATTGACCCAAACAATGGTTTTTGGCCTTTTTATTTTATTTATTCATTTTTTAATTTTTTTATCTTTTAAATAAGATCGGGCCATCCATTTGAACCAAATGATCAGAGCATTTGACCCAAGAACCAGTGGCCATAATAGTTCCATGTCTAGTCCAATTTTTAGAACCTTGATAAAAAAACAAAAATAGGAGGAATTGAACCTTCGTTATTAGCATGTAACCACAAAACTCTGCTATATTTGCTATAAACATGCATTTTTATTCTTATGTAATTTTTTTTTATTTTTAAGGGATTTTTCGGCAAAAATACTAAAATTGATTATTAAAATTTATATACTAATAAATATTAACACAAATTATAGACTTTTGACATTTTTAGTTCTTCCATCATTTTTCAATGGTTACCAATTGTCTTGATATCTCACAAGTTATATAAACCCTTGAAATGTGCTTTTTTTTTAATTTTTATGTTTAAGACTTTAAATTGTTCATTTATAATTATATAAAACTTATATCTATTGTTATTAATATATATTTTTAGGACCTATTTGAGTTTACTAATATATCCATGTGCATCTTGATTTTTTGTCCATATCCATGTGTATCAAAAGCATATCCCAATAACTGCCTTCCAATACATCTTGGATTTCCAATACTTTAAACCTTGAGGACACCCAAGCAATAACAGAATTAACACATTAACTTGGCAACATTTCCCAAATCATCAACCCTCCAATATGGTTTTCAAAACCGGACCAGACTGGACGGTCAGACCAGAAAAACCGAGAACCTATCAAGTGACCGGTACCATTTTACCCCAAAACATTGATTTGGTCAGCAAACCACTGACCCAGGTGATCAAACCATTCAACTGTTCTGGTTATTTTCAATTTTTTATTTTTTTTGTCAGAACAGGCCATTCATTCGGTTCAAGCGGTCAAACCATTCAACCCAGAAACCAGACCTTAACCAGTTCATTGTCTGGTTCGGTTTTAAAAACCTTCCCCTCCAAACCCCTCCTCTCTAGGACATCCTTTCTTCTCAGAGACCTTCAAAAAACCTTACTTTTTCCGACCTACAATCAATCTACAACACCCATATGGAGCTTTATACTCCAATCCATTCTTGCCCACAGTTACAAAAATCCATAAATATACAACCAGGGCTCTCAAACCTCTCCACCGTGGTGTCATTACCCCCAGCTTTTAGAACTCAATAGACTACCTACATCCCACCGCCTTCCACCAGGAAAAGATATTTCCACCATATATCCATATCCTTCCAATGTGCATCCCAATGTCTCTTAAAATTGCCTTTCAAATAGTACCTGTAGTTCCAATACTTTGAACCCAGTCAACAAGAAACAAGTGGGTCATCCCTCATCCGTCTTTTCTATGGTATGGGCTGTTCTCGTAGGTTTCATTTGGTGTAGATGAGTAATATGAGCAATACATGTAACAAAAGATGACACTCAAAAATGGGATACTCGTTTCATTTGGTGTAGAGGTGTCGGCACTCGAATAGGTTTCAGGGAGAAGCCCATCGGAGGATAATAAAGATTTATATATATATTCAATGCATCTTCAAGCCGGTCCTATGGCATAAAAAAGCCAGGATCTCACCAGAAACAAACAATGAACAAGTTCAAAACCTAGCAAGCAAGGGCATTGTTGTCATGTCAAGAGATACACCTACACATGAAACAACCGTTTAGCACAATAATAACACGGTTAGATGTGTGTGGCTGCCAATACACATACACCTTAAATGTGATTTCATTCATTTTAATAACCTTTGGTCCCACAAAACCTGTTCATCGATCCTGCTCAGGTTCTCATCATCAAGACGCTTCCACGTCTTGATCCTCTCCACTCCCATCCAGGATCTCAACCCCTTTGCTAGCTCGACCAATACGACTCTTGATCGTCGTGGCCAACCAGCTTTACCATAAGCATGGTATCCAAAGCCTCCACCGTAGCAGAACCATATACCTTCTAGCTCCCCACAGAAGTCATTGTTATGATCATGACCCATGAAAACAGCCTTCACATTTCCCATGGCAGAAAGGGTCTGTAGGACCCCAGAGTTAACAACAGAACAAGCAACTGCCTCTTGAAATTGACCCACAATGTCTTTAAACCAGAGCTGCCGCACTTCTGGGATTGGAATGTGGAAGAATGTCAGGGCTGGAGAATGGGGCTGGGCAGCTTTTGTTGGTGATGCAATGCTATTCAGTCCGTTTTGGTCATACTTGTTGCCCTGCTAGTATTTAGACCTGCAACATGTTAATGAAATAAACAAAAAGGAAGTGTATTAATGAAATCTAACTGAAAGAAATCAGACGGCAAACAGAAATCCTGGAATAAGATGCGAGTTTCATGTACACAATTTTAGTAAACCAGGTCCAGAGAGGGTAATGATATGCCAGTCCCTAGTACCAGACCACAGTGAGCTCCAGTGTATCACCATGTAATCCAGATTTATTAATATCCACATCTATTTCAAAATCAAGTTGACCTGGTGAACATTAACATGGTCCTTTTCTTGCATTGCTTTCCATGGTTTTGCAGAGCAACTTTAAAATTAACCGTAAACCAGAAGGTAAGCTGTGTGTCATTTTTAATTATCTTTACGGGTTGAAAGACAATGAGTTACACTGAGAACCATAAGTCCAGTTTCCTTGGTCCATACCTACCATACAATGTTCTTGGGACAAATTTCCACATGGTTTCTGATCATATAGACTTGGGGACTAAGATTTCTGAATAAGAGTTAAAAATATTAAAATAAAAATAAATTGAAGTGGTTCCTACTTGTATGCAATAAAGTAGGTTGGGGTCGGTCAATCCATTTATAGAACAATTCTTAATGGTTTTCATAGTTTTGAATAGTTATACCTGAAAGACTTCATAAATGCTACGAAGCCAATGAAGCTGAGATTCTTTGATCCATCCATAACCTCGAATGCCATTTAAAGTAGCCCTGTCTCCACTGTCCAGAAAAAAGAGATCTAGGACACTGGTGTTGGCCAAATCAGAACCAAAAGCACCATGTACCTGAAGGTTGTAATTCCCATACCCATCAATGTTTTCTGTCGCAATTCCTGGTGGATTAATCTGAGAGACTGAATAATCCATGAGGGAAATGAAGGACATCAATTCTTCCCGGGTCATGGTAGATTCTTGGTCGTGGTTGCCCAAAATTGCTGCCCAAGGAAGTCTAGACTCTATTGCGGGACCAAATGCTCCAAGCAGAGATTCAGCAGCATCAGCAGTGCTTGGACCAAATATATTATCCCCTAGTCAAAACAAGTTAAGATGTCTTTAGTGTCTTTTGGTAAATAAATATAATTTTTTTAAGAAAGAAATCTTCTTTTTTGAGGAAACAGGAGAGCGAGGTCTGATTGGCTGCAAGGAAGCTAAAACAGGTTTTAACTTCAAAACTCATCCAAATACCATAAATAGAATTCTTGACTACTTCGCATTCCTTAATTTTAAGGACTTGTCTCCTTTTTACAGTTAAAAACTCAAGTGTTCATAGGGGCATTTTAACAGCAGAAAGGAGATGAGTCCTTGAGACAAGGAATGCCAAACGCCACCCTATTTGCCATAAAATTTTGATTTTGCAAACCCAAAACTGAAAATTCATATATTACTTCATATTTTAGTGCAAGAAGCCATTATTTCTGGTGCCTAATAAGCATAGATTTGGTTGGTCCATAGAAGCAAATATAGAAGGAAAGGACCTTGGAGAAGTGGATCGGATTAGAAATTTCTAACCAATATTAGAATTTATGGGTGTTCAAAACATTGGTATGGTTGAGTTTTTAAATTAATTTTATGGTTTGTTTGGTGCCTTAGGAATAGAGTTAAGTTTCTTTCTTCTATTAATTTATTATTCTTAGTAAAAAATAAAATTACTATTCATGGTAAATTTTGGATTTACCATCCATTTCTGATAATTCCTGTTACTATAAAATAGTAACTAGATATTTTTTAGTAATTTTTGGTTTCTTCATGTCAAGTTTGTTTTAGTAGGACTAGTAATGAGTTATTAAAATTGCTTAGAAGAGGCCTTGAGTGTTCTAAATGTGCAGAGCACAAAAAAACACAAGGGGCTTTTTGTGCCTGAGGTGCACGCCATTTTGAAGCAAGGAACAAATTTCTAAAAAGTTTCTAAACTGCAAAAAAATAAAAATAGTATTAATTAAAATATATAAATTTTAAACTATATGTTTTAGAAAGGATAAATTATAGATTACTACCTTGTACTACTTTAGGGATAGTGCCAATTACCTCCTAAACTTTCATTTGTGACAAAGAACCCCCCTGAACTTTTAAATTCCGACAAACCCCCCCCCCTGTTCATTGAGTGACGTAAGTTAATTTACCAAAAGTACCCACTTGAGAAACTTCTATAAAATGGAAATTGGAACAAAAAACAAGAAACTTCTATGAAAACCTCAAATTACAACAAACACAATGTACAATTAATATCAACTATTTTTTTTTTTGGTGGAATACAATTAATATCAACTAAACCAGTACAAATGGAAATTAGGATAAAAAAACACTAAAACAAACCTCATCACTTATTTTGGAAAATCGTTGGAAAAAGGGTAGTTTGGGGATTTGAAAAGTTTAAAAAGTCACATGAGAATCTTTTTCAAGGTTAAGTCACATCTTGACCAATTAATCCTCAACCCTGAAACTCTCTTCACAATGTCTAAGATTACATTTGAGCCCAAAACATGTGTTCTATGTACCCCTTGCTTGTCTAAGCTATCTGCCAAACTGTTGGCAGTTCTCCTCACCCACCTCACTCGGATTGACATGTCCATTGATAGCTCAAAGACTTGAAAACCTTAACTAATAAGCTAGGAAGAACTTAAAATTTTGTCCAATAAACACATTCTTCTTCTTCTTCCACCTTTTCATTTCTTCCTTTCCTAGGACAAAAACAAGGGATCAGCCCCTATATTTTCTGAATTTTCTTTTCTTTCTTAATTTTCTTCTCATGAAGTATCGTCCCCACCCATATTGACTCTACCCAAGTTCAACCAGCCCTTTGTTGTTGAATGTGATGCCTCGGGCACCCGGTGTCTGTCTTAATGCAATGGGGCAAGCCATTAGCTTATTTCAGCAAGGCTCTCTCCCCTCGAGCCAAAAATCAGTCTACCTATGTTAAAGAACTGATGGTTGTTGTCCTGGCGGTTCTCAAATGGCACCACTATCTCCTCGGTCAACACTTCATCATCAGGACAAATCAGTGAAGCCTTAAATATCTACTAGAACAGTGCATCCTCACTGAAGAACAACAAAAATGGGTGTCAAAATTACTGGGGTTTGATTACATAATAGAGTACAAAACCGGGGCTTCCAATATTTATCAAAAAAAAAAAAAAAAGAAAACGGGGCTTCCAACCAGGTAGCAGACGCCTTGTCAAGACAAGAAGAGTTATGGTTGATGATTGAATCCAGACCCATTTATCCACCATCGAGGGTTCTTAAACAGGTAGGTCTTGGTCAATCCAGAACTGGAGACCATTAAGAAGAAATGGGTCGAGGATACAACCCAAGTGCCTGGCTATTCGGTAAAGGACACCCTCTTATACTATGAGGGAAGGTTAGTCCTACCACCATAGTTGTCAAGGTACCTGGGTGAGCCTAGGCAACCACAGGGCGCTCAGTCGCCTAGGCGACTAGGCGGGCGCCTAGGCGATGGAATTTGAAAGTATAAAATAAATATTTGTACCCCTCTTAAGCTACTTTATTGGTTTTTTATACTAACCAACATACATGTATGCTAGCTATTAGCAATAAAATCATTCGAATAAAATATAAAATGCCATAGCTAGCACCCAGGCCAACAAAAATGGGGGAGTGCAGCTAAGAAAAGAGAGAAAAATAAGGGGGCGGAGCCCCTGTTTCATTCCCAACATAAGTTGTCCAAGAGGACGATGTGGACTGTGTTTAAGGGGGTGGAGACCCTGTTTCAGGCTAAAAAAATGGAGGATTCTTAAAAGTAAGAAAGGAGTACCAATGTGATTTTAGGAAGGAGGAGGCGAAGCTCTTGTTTCATCCCAAAATATTTCTTAAAGAAGAAGAAGAAATGTACCTGGAGGTCTTGGACTACTTGGACTGAACAACAGAAACTTCTTAGTCCTCGCTTTCTCTTCTCAGCTCTCAGTTCAAAACTCAAACTCTCAAACCCAAAGAAACTTTTGTAGTTTTAATGTAAAAAAAAAATTACTTTAATAAAAAAATGGTCACATACAACAGGGTGTATTCTAATAAAATAGAACAAACCAATAAAATGATATAATGCATATGCACATTCAAAAAAATAATAATATATATATATATATATGGGTGAGCTTCTGATACAAAAACACCTTGGCGTTGGGCAAGGCAACTTCTAAAAATCGCCTAGTCGCCTTGACAACTATGCCTACCACCAACATCCCCTCATTTGATGGAGCTACTACAGCTATTCCACTCCTCCACTGAAGGCGGCCACTCTGGGGTGTTGAGAACCTACTGGCACATTGCAGCCCATTACTACTAGAAAGGAATTAGGAAGCATGTCCAGCACTTTGTGGCCAGCTGCCCAACTTGTCAACAGCAAAAATATGATACTAAGCAACCAGCCAGACTTCTTCAACCTCTCAAGATACCTGATCAAGTCTAGGAGGACCTCACCATGGACTTCATCACAGGACTGCTGCCCTTGAAAGGCAAGACAGTAATAATGGTGGTAGTGGACAAGCTAAGCAAATATGCCCACTTCTCTGCTCTGTCTCACCTATTCACAGTAGCACAAGTAGCAAACTTGTTTGTTAGAGACATCACCAAATTGCATGGGACACCAAGATCCATCATCTCTGATCGAGATCCTCTATTCATGGGAAAGTTTTGGCAGGAATATTTTAAAATTCAGGGGACCCACTTGGCACATTCCACACGTTATCACCCCCAATCCGACGAGCAGACGGAAGTGGTTAACAGATGCATTGAGACCTACCTGAGGTGCTTCGCTGGACAGAGACCAAAAGAGTGGCTAAAATGGTTATCTTCAGTTGAATTATGGTACAATTCCACTTACCATGTGAGTATGGGGATGACACCATTCAGGGCATTGTATGGGAGGGACCCTCCTGCCGTTCTTCCCCACGAATCAGGTTCTACATCAGTGGCTGCAGTAGACAAATATGAAGGTTGCCTTTGATCGTAAACAGATTATGAAGGTTGCCTTTGATCGTAAACACCATCCCTTGGAATTCCAGTTAGGTGACATGGTTATCTTGAAGCTGCAACCCTATCGATAGACTTCGGTGGCTAGACATGCTTGGCAAAAATTGGCACCCAAGTATTATGGTCCCTTCAAGATCCTAGAAAAAATCAGCTGTCACCTACAATCTTGAACTGTCAGCTTCTTCCAAGCTTCACCAAGTCTTCCATGTATCCCTACTTAAGAAGCACATTGGCAACATAGAAAAATCCCAGGCCACCCTTCCAGCTTTCTCTAAGGAAGGAATTATGATCATGGAGCCCCACAAGCTGATTGATTTCCACTGGGTTCGCAAGGGGAAGTACTACATAGAGGAAGCCTTGGTTGTTTGGAGCAACTTGCCTGAAGAAGAAGCAATGTAGGAAGAATATTCTCGCCTTCAGCAAGAATTTCCCCACATCAACCTTGAGGACAAGGTCAGTCTCAAGGAGGGGGGAGTTGATAGGCACACAGCTAGGCCAGTACCACCAATCAGCCCACCAGCATGATCCCCATGCAGCATTACCCAAAGACCTATGTGAGGGGACCACATCAGCAAGTTAGTTACAATTGAGAATTTGCCCATGTGATGTAAAGCTTATAAATAGAAGAATAGCAGTAAAGAGGATTACCTTTTTGAGCACAAAACCCCTTTCTCTCTTCTTCTTTTCTCTGTAGGAGGCTTGATCTCCCTCGAAGAAGCTCCTGAGGTAGGCAGATCCTACCAAGTGGTATCAAAGCCCAGCCCTGGGCAGCAACATGGTGGGAACCAGATCCTCTGCAAATGACGACCGTATTGAGATTCTCGAAGGGGATATCACTGAAATCAAGGCAGCTCTCACGGTAGTCTTGGCCAAGCTGGAGAAGGCACCAATCAGCGAGAACAACGAAGCTAAAGGAGAGGGTAGCAGTCAGACCAGCAATCGAAGTGGGAGAACAGGGATGTTGAAGCAGACCAAGATCACGTTTGTTATGTGCCTTAGGAGAACTCACACCTAAAAGCTAGCTATTAGAGGGAGGGAACCCAAGCACATATATATCACGTAACAGCATCCCAAACTACCAATGTGGGACAAAGGGATCGTAACATTCCACCACGCTCCACAGTCCCAGCGCCATGCAGGCTAGCTTTGCACTAGTCCACCTAGTCCTGGTTGAACACTGCAATACCGGCACCACCAGCTACGCCGCATGATTGCAACTGGGAAGCATGTGTAGGCTCTGATACCATTTGTTATGTGCCTTAGTTAGGAGAACTTGCCCCTAAAAGCTAGCTGTTAGAAGGAGGGAACCCAAGCACATATATATCACACAACAGCATCCCATACTACCAATGTGTGATATCTCACATTAGCATCCCATACTACCAATGTGGGACAAATGGATCATAACAGAACTACCTTAAGATTCATGTTTTTTATTTAAAAAAAAAAAAAATCCATTGCCTAGGTGACTAGGCAACAAGGTGCCCTCTTGTAACCCAACCTCGCATTGGTGCCTTGAAAACTATTGTATCCACTAATTGCCCTCTGACCAACATTTTACAATTTGGAGATGACTCATTGGTGTTCTCTAATCCTAGTAAGAGAGATCTAGTATTCCTCAGATACCTCTTAATTTGCTTTGAAGTAACTTCAGGATTAAAGGTAAATTTGCAGAAAAGTGAATTGATTCTGGATGGTGATGTACTAGACATTGAAGATCTAGCTGAGGTTCTTGGTTGTAAGGTGGGCTCTTTGCCCCCAAAGTTTCTGGGGTTACCTCTTAGAGACAACAATGGATCTAAGAAAATCTGGGACCCTGTAATAGAGAGGATGCAGAGTAAATTTGCAGGGTAGGAGAAAAGCTATCTATCAAGAGGTGGAAAGCTGGCTCTCATTCAAAGTGCACTTTCTCATCTTCCAACATACTACTCTTTATTCCAGCTTCAATGATAAACTCCCTGGAAAAACTTAGAAGAGACTTCTTATGGGAATGGAAGGAGGAAAGAAAGTTGCACTTAGTAGCTTGGAACTGGTACCAGATTCAGATCCTTAAAAATTATGAACCAACCCCTTCTATCCAAATGGATATGGAAATATGGTGCTGAAAAGGATGCTTCATGGCAGAAGTTAATTTGCTGCAAGTATGGGAATTCCATGTTGGGATGGGAAACTAGGCATACTTCTTCTAATGGCACAGCGATTTGGGAAGACACTATGCAAAGTAGAGACATGTTATTTACCCTCACCACTTACAAGTTACAAACCAGGTACGGGAGCAAACATTCTGTTCTGGAAAGATTCCTGGTGTGGAAACCTCCCTCTGAGTCATGCCTTCCCCAACATTTATGCATTGGCGCACAACAAGAATGCAAAATCAAGGATTGCCATGAGATCTTAGGGAATCAGGTTGTATGGGACCCTCTTCTTAGGAGAAATGTTGATGATTGGATGCTTGATGATCTTATTGAGATAGTGAGATGTTAAATACCTTAAACCAGGTGTGTATTCAACCTATGCAGGAAGATAGATGATGGTGGAAGGACAATATATCAGGAATCTTCTTGGTAAAATCTTTCTACCTCAGCCTGTCCAGTTCCAATGATGAGAAGGTTCCTTGGTCCTGAATATGGAAGCTAAAAGTTCCCTCTAAAGTCATTTCTTTGCATGGACAGCCATTAAAGGAAGAATGCTCACCATTGATAAAACTGAGATTAAGAGGAATGATTATCACAAATTGCTACTCTCTTTACAAGGAAGCTAAAGAATTGATTGGCCATATTCTGGTGCATTGTAGTTTTACATAATGTTTTGAAAATCGTAATCGTATTGTAAATCGTAGAGAAAGTTTAATCGAATCAAATCGTGAATCGTATCGTAAATCGTAAGATTATTTCTATTTTTTACTTGTCAAAAAATTAAATATAGATATATTAAAAGGCTAATTATATATAGGAAAGTTACCTTATCCCATTTTTAATCTATATCTACCATATATGTACTTAAAACAATAGAATTTACCACTTATACAATAAAAGCCTAAGATGATATCATCAAGTTTGACTTTAAAATCAAACAAATCTACATACAATGGCCCTTTAACTTATATATGATAGAAAATAAACTCAATTTCGAGTCTTGAATAATGTAAATAAATCATTTTCTAGTAAGGGCTTTAAAAAACGTCTCCCATGGAAAAACTAAATATAAACAAAAAAAGAAACAAAGTAGAGAACTAATTCTTAATTGAATTTATTTGAATCATAGTGAATCTTAAAAATCATAAGATTTATGAATCAAATCGTATGACTCCAACTTTCTGCAGAAAAGGATTCAGATATAAGATTCGAATTGAAACCCTTGGGATTCATGATTCAATCCGTGAATCATAAGATTTTGACAACATTATACATACAAAATTTGGGTCCATATGATCAAGCTGTTCAAATGTTAATGAGTTCATCACTCAAACATCCAAGGTGTGATCTCTGTTTGGTGTGTAAAGGCTTTAGTAAGCGGAAGAATTTTATGGCAATTCCGGTAGCGTGGAGGTGGTTTACAACCAGGTTGAGAGATTGATGGTTAAGCGGCTTCAATTCTGGGTTGCTTTGCGAGGCTCAATTTCTCTCTCTGTTGTATCTATCAAAACGAAAAAAAAAAAAAAAAATCCCTCTCTGTTGCACTAATTGGAACAATATGATCCGGGAGAGAGTTAGCTTTGTATTCGGGCCTAATATTAGGCCCTGTTGTATGCTCCTTTTGTGGGGAGGGGACCTCTTCCTCCCTATAACGTCCGGATTTAGGACTTGAGAATAAAACAACCATGAGTAGATTAGCCTCAATCAAATGAATTGCTTCCTAACCATCATCCAAAACCAGATTACCCACCCCAACTTCAAGTAGATGATAACCAATCGCTAGTTCGGGGACAACCATAAAGGTCAAGAAAAACATGTTCCAAGAACGCAAAATCCATCTTTCCATCATCTACGGACTTGAGCAGAGTAACATACCAGTAAAAACCAGAAAATCGGGTTTTTCAACCTCGATCATCCTCCGAATGAAACGAGTCGTATTGAGGTCGGAACAGTACTCGAACTCCGATGGCAAGACGTCTCTGCATCTGGTCATTTTCCCTTTCGCGTAATGCATATCGGCCACCTGAACGATTTTCAAACCTTAAGAAAAAAGAGTTTCATTTCAGCTTAAAATAGAAGCAGAGATTGAGGAACAACAAACCTGGAGTATCTTGAATGTGCCATCGGAACCGAATCTAAGAGGAAGGTCTGGCTTCCGCTTGATCTTGACAACTTCATGACCCAGCATCAACCTCGGGGAGATTAGAGTTTGAAGAAGATAAAGAGTTGCAGCAATGAAAGCAATCAAGAAGGGAAGGGACAGCCATTTTCCTCCTTCAGATCCCATAATGTTCCTGCTTCCTACAACCCTTGTTCCCTTGAGAGTGTGAGACTATGCTCCGAGATCGACTTGCCGTCCCGTAACCGTAACATTACAGTCATTAAGAAAAGAGCAAATTGCTTAAACCTCCCCAGAGTTTCTAACCATTGCGGAATCTCCCCTCCTTTTCTTCCGGTGGCTATCACTTACCCTGGAGTTTCTGACAAGGTTGAAATGAAGCCCCCTCCGTCAGTCCGTCAGAATCGGCTTAGGTTAGCAACAAAATGACCAAATTACCCATACAGTATTTTCTTATTCCGAATTTTGCATTTCCGTCGCACAATAAACACTATTGTCACGATTTCTTCCCTACAAAACATGGCTCTCATACCACCCCCCTACTTAGCCCTCTGAACTTACCTATTAATGTAAATGTCATGACTAAGGTTGGTCAATATAAATGATTTATGTTATCAATTCAATATTTGGTACCACATTTCTATTATAAATGACAACATCCAGTACAATGGCTATATTTTATTAGTGGAAGCGGTTATTTGGTGTGATGTGATAAGATAATTTCTTAAAAATTTGTATTTATCAACCTAAAATATTGCAAATAGAAGTGACAATGGTACTAAATACAACCTAAAACAACATCAAGCTCCCACAGTCCTTGATTCCTAGTGAAAATTACGTAGTTCTTCAAATTCACATAACAAGTACCATAACATTGCCACCGTCAACCATACAACTATAATAGGGTCTTCATCTTTTACGAAATTTCTTCAAAATGTTGAGGGTTAATCTTTCAAAAAAATCTAATATTTGGGAGTTGATCTTTCATGAAATTTCTTTAAAATCTTTGGAGCTAATTTTTAAAAATCCTTTCACAATTTTTTTTTTTAATTTGAAGGCTAATCTTTTAAAAACTTTTCAAAAATTTGGGGGATTATCTTTCATGTTACTTTTCAGAATTTTGGAGCTAATCTTTTAAAACAATTATTCAAAATTAACTTTAAAAAAAATAGTATAATTTTGGAAGCTTCATCTCTTAGATACTACTACCAAAATGGGGGCTAATAGTTGATAATAAAGGTCAAAATTACTGACCTAATTGCTACTTAATGATAGTTTTCTCTCCATCATTAATCAAGGGGCTAATGTAAGAGGGTCAAAATGGGGGCTAATGATATATGTCATTCAGAGACACTTTTGATGATGTTTATTAACGTCGGCAAAAAGGTGTGTTTTTTGGCAACGTTTATTAACATCGTCAAAAATGCAACTTTTGACAAAACTAATAAACATCACCAAAAAACTTGACTTTTGTTGACAAACGTTGCCCAAAGCCTCGACTTTTGTCGATGTTGATAAACGTCGATTTTTTCTATTTTCCCTTTTTTATATCCCAAAAATTTTAAATCACCTACTTATCACCTGTTTTACCCTTAATTCATCACATTCATCCATATAACCATTTAATTGACAATATATTAAAATAAAACAAATTAAACTCCAATATCATAATTAATAAAAATATTTGCAATTAAAAATGTATGCTTAAACAAAAACATTAAAAAAAGAAAGGCATCGTCCAAAATGAAAGGAGTCCCCTTTGTTTGAAACAAAAAAAAAAGAAAAGTATCATCCGAAATAAAGGGATTTCTCCTTTGCATTGGCATTCTCCCCTCCTTACTCGTTACATGTGCATGAGAGGATCCTGTGTGAGACTGTTATTGGATGCCCTGCAAAAGACATAATAATGATGTTATTTTTACACCAAAAGATATGAAAGTATAAACATAAAGTTAAATTTGACTAATCTTACCGGGTTTGATGATGAAGCTACATGATGGGGATGGAGATCTCTAAGTGGAATGGGAGTGTTTTCCGGCCCATGGCTCTACACAAAAAACATAGTGTATTCAAATATTCAGCAAGCCAAGGGAAACACCATCATGAGAATGAAGTCTAAAGAGAGATATTACTCACTACTTGAAGTATATTAGCAACCTTTAATAATTTGGTTAACATTTTGGAAGCCTACCCCTATAAAATGGTGGTTTTTCAAAAAGAACCACTTTTATAAAGTGAACATGAGTCTGAACAATACAAACCACACCTGATAACTCTTTTGGTCAGGTTGCAAAATGGTTTAAATAAAAATTTAGAACCCTAGTTGAGTTGGATTTTATAGACTTGGAGATATTTTTCTATTATTTACTATGATGTGTTTAATGTTCAAAGTGACTATTAGGATTTTGGAGAAATTCAGGAATTTGAGTAGTTCTTGCTTCTTGCCTCTTAGTTCAAGAATGAGAAATTTAGAACCACATCTACAAGATTATATATGTTAGTATATAGTTCAAAGTTTTTACGTGTCTTCCATTCCATATTGTTATTTACATATGATTTGGTAGATTAGTCAACCAACTTATCACTTATAGGGCTACCAAGAGACATCAATTAAAAAAGACTAAAATCCATAGTTTACTTGGAATCATGTACCAAGTCAAACTAACTTATCTTACCCATTGAGAATCAAAGCAAATTGTAAAAAGAAGAAAGTGTTTAAGGAATAATCCAAGTTTAAGAAGTAAAATATGTAAACTTGTGTGAGAAAGTGTGTGTGAAGTTTTGATATTTATATGAGGGAGATGTAAGAAGTGCTCCATCTTTCCTCTTTGTTCTTTCTTGGGCAAAGTTCAAAATGAAGTATAGAACCTTTAACCTTGAAGGCATGTTATTAAAACAAGGTTATGCTAAGAATAACAGACAAGATCTAACCCACTAATTTTAACTCAATGGGAGTTGTGTACAAAAGCCCCCGTAAAGAAAAGATGGGGGACACATAACCTAGTATGACCCTAAAAGAGGTGGATTTCATTGAGAACTACAAAACCTTTTTCTTGTTCCTACTTAATCCTTTTGCTTTATCCATAAGTTCACAAAGATTAAACAATTCAAATGTGCCACTATTCCAAACACACACACAAAGATCCCCTTAAATCGCCTTTTTTTTCTGTCATTAAGAAATAAGTACTTCCTCGGCCCAACAAACCCAAACCCATCTCTCCCTATCTCTATCTAGAAGTAAGAACCTCCACTGAAGATTCCTTATAAGAATTCAAATGGGTGTTTTAATCAAAGTTCTATTTGAGACAAGGACCATACAATGGGGCATTTGGATCTACTTGGTTTAGTAACTCATGTATACTATGGGGCAGTAAAATTGATTTTCCTGGATGTGTCAATATACTTGCTTAATGTTAATCTTTTGCAAATGAGCTCTAGGAAGGGAAGATGATGGTGTAGCAAACAGAGACAAGATTTCGAGGAACTCTTTTGATATCAAATATCACAACTCAAGTCATTTATGTAGAATGTTCATGTTCTAATCCTAGCAGCTGAGACAAGCTACTCCAATTGTTTGGCAGCATACCAGTGTTAGCCTTGGCATGATAAACTCTCCAAATCTATCAAACAGCTGAGAACATTCTAAATTAACATGAGCCTCATAAGTGTCCAATTTAAGGGATAATACGTAGAAAACATACTAATATCAATATGAAACAACAATGTACTTTATTCATCTACAAATAAATGTTTATGTACATCAATCTGATTAGAACTAAAGACAGACACTATCTCAAATTTCACCCATACAACACAATCTCCCAAAATTCACCAAAGTGTATCCATAGTTTTCTTTTCTAAGTCCTTTCCAAGGGTTAATCCAATCACATCAAAATGTAGCTGAAAGTTGTAACCATTGATTAGACATCCTGATAACACAAAAGCTTCAACCATAGGCCTCTTTACTAGTATTGCAACAAGATCTGAGAATTGTCCACCATTTCCACGTTCTTGGGCATCTAGCACATAGTTCCTTAACCAAGTAGTCAACTTGGTTTAATGGGCCTTTTGTAGTAGTTGTTTTTTTCTTCCAAACCATGGAGACAAGGTTTTTAAATGTTCATTGAAATGGTGAAATTCAAATTAGTTGAATGAATCCATGAATCAAATTACATATTCACTACAAGAAAAATGACTTTTAGCGACAGTTTTAACTATTGCTAAAGGTCCCTAAAACTGCTGTTAAAAACTTTATCAGCAGTCGGCAAATTGCCCCTAAAAGAATTGTCGTTAGAAATTCTAGTGGAAATTTTCACGATTGTCGATACAAATACAAAATTGCCGTTAAATACTGAACCGATTACCATTATGAGTCTGGCACGTGACTTTTAGCGACAGTCAAGGGCATCTTCAGCAACAGTCAATCTTTACTTTTTTTCATATAACATTTTTTTATTTTTTTAATTTGCTTCAAATAACTTGTTTTCTCTATATTCATCTAAATTGAAATGAAATGCATAAATTAAAAAGAACTAATTAGAAATAAAATTTAAAAACCCATTCTCCATTCAAAACATTTGAATTACAAATACATCTTAATTTCAACTTGATAGGATCTTGATTTGTATAAGAAATGTTCCCTTCACAATGCCATTTTACGAGTTTTTCAAGACTCATCCTACCTGCCTAGTCCCTTCACAAATACATTTGATGTTTATTCAGTCTATTTCTTATTTTTCCACCACTAGTTCGGTTTCACTAGAACTTTGCTCCTGTTTTGGATCTCGTAAGGGTTTGATAAGTTGATGGTGAACCAGTTTTTGTCAGATAGGAAAGCACACTTGCAGCCTTTGGTGGCATTTGGGTCGGAGACGCCAATGCTTGTCATCGTCACATTCAAAATCTGGAGTTGCTCAGGGGTTGTAGTCTGGCAACAGCTTATGCATGAACAACTTGTTTCCGTAGCAGTTCCACTAGCGCAAGTAGACATGCAACCTCTTGTGATATTCCCCTTTTTGGTGATGAATGCATAGTTGTCACAGCCGGTGGCGACGAAAATGTTTTAGTCATCTGAAAAGAAGAACCGACTTCCTTCTAGACTAGCTAGTCTTTCTATTTTCGCATCTTCTGTATCATTACAGCTTGAAATAATTGGACTATTTATATGTAGCATGCCATTCACTGACATTCCCATGCCAAAGAAAAGGGAGGCACGAATGCTGAGGAACCCCAGGCTTTGGAACACTGGGAGAAGCGAC